TCAAGACTATGGCTCACCCTTTCCTTTATATCTAGGTCACGTACTGCTGACTCTTAACTCTCTGGTCTCTCCTTCTCTGGCTCTACCTCTTCCTAATGTCCCCAAAGTGTCATACTTAGCTATGTACTTCAAAGCTCAGATTTCTATTTTGTGTTACTTCCCCATTTACGGCTTTCTCTCTGTCTCTTTTTCAAAAAAAATTCTATTTCCATTTTTATTTTTATTTTTTTAGAGAGAGAGAGAGAGAGAGAGAGAGAGAAACATCATTGGTTGCCTTTCATACATGCCCCAACTGCTGATTGAACTTGAACTTGCAACCTTGATATGTGCCTGACTGGGAATCAAACCTGCCACCTCTGTTGTAGGGGATTATGCTCCAATCAACCAGCCAGGGCCTCTCTCATTTCTAAGTGGATAATTCTCAAATCTGCATCTCTACATTCTAACACCTCATCTTCCCATCCATGAGATCTGTCAGCACCTGAAGCAACTTGAGTTAAACTTGCTGGAACCATCCAGCTAGTGTGGTTCAGTGATTGAGCATTGACCTCTGAACCAGAAGGTCACAGTTCCTGGTCAGAGCACATGCCCAGATTGTGGGCTCAATCCCCAGTAGGGGGCATGCAGGAAGCAGCTGATTGATGATTCTCTCTCATCATTGATGTTTCTCCCTCTCCCATCCTCTCTCCAAAATCAATAATAACATATAAAATATTTTTTAAAAACTTGCTGGATTTATCTTTCTTCCCAAAACAATTTCCACTTCAGAATTCTATTTTTTCTCAGAATTATAGCCAATATTCTCTCTTCTTGGTTCTAAATCTTGGAATCAACTTTGATTCCTCTTCTTTCCTCATCTCCAGCCAGGAAAAAAAAGTTAATTTTCCCTTGTAATGTCTCCTACCTGTTTCATCTTACCTATTTATACTGTCATCAGTCTTCTCCATCCAAGCGTCCCTCACATCCTCTATGTAGCAGTTTCTAACTCTAGGTCCTCCCACTTCATCCCTCCACTATGAGTTGACACATCAATTACAGTGTTAAGTGACTCCTTATTAAGTACCAAATGATTACAGATGCTTTAGCATAATATTATGAATTTCCACAATAAGTTCACAATGGACATTTCCCCTCAAGAATGATTTTGGAATATAGCAGGAACCTACTGAATGTTAAATTGTATGTTAAAAGATCCAGTAGCTGGACTCTTGAATCCAAAAGATATCCTCTGCCCGATCTTACTCTGCTCCATCTCAGTTCAACCATCACAGCCTTTCACTCTTCTAACTTCCTCTCTGGATTTAACACCTTCATGTATCTTCTACTGGGCCCTGAACCCGGTTGATGTTCTGGCTTTCAACTTCTGATCTGCCTCCTGATCCAGGCTGGCTATTAGGGATATAGAGCACTCTGGCATGGTCCCTCCTTCACACTCAGCACTCCCAGTGCCCAAGAATCAGACGGGGAATGTGTTAGGAATGTAAATTCCAGAACACACCTCTCACTCACGTCAGGGGTATAGACAGCATCTATAGCAGTATTGTTCAATAGAACTTTCTATGAAGATGGAAATGCTCTATTCTGTGTTGTCCAATAGAGTAGCTACTAACCATATGTGGCTACTGAGCACTTGAAATGTATTTAGTATTCCTAAGGCACTAAATTATTAATTATATTTAATTTTTATCAATTTAAATTTAAATAGCCACATGTGACTGGTGGCTACCATATTGAACAATGCAGATCTATAATTTAACAAACACTGATTCTAATGAGCAACAGTGTTTAACAACCACTTTAACAAGCAGTCCAGGTGACCCTTATGCTCACTTATTGGCACATAGTAGGTAATCAACAAATGTTTGTTGAATAAATGGATGCACAAATGAATACCTAAAAGAACCAGAATATAATTACCTTAAAATTTAAATCTGTCTTTTCTGAAAAAGTTGAGGGGAACTTTCCCAGATTAAAGAGACTAAAAACACTAATAAAATGTAATAAATTGACCTTAAAGGGATCCTGGTTCAAACATTTAAAAAATATATATATGACATTTTGGGGATATATATAAAAATATATATGACATTTTGGGGATATCTGGTGATGTTTAAAAATTATTTTGTTTTCTTAGGTAAAATTATGTTATTACAATTACAAAGGATGTCTTTATTATTAGAAAATATATGCTGAGATACTTAGGGATGATGTGAAATGATATCAGCAACTTATTTCCAAGAGCTTTGGCCAGAAATATGTGATTGTGTGTGTATGGAGAGAGAGAGAGGAAGCAAAACTGGCAAATGTTAACAATTATTGAATCTAGGTGGAGTATACTTGGGTGTTTATTGTATATACTAGAGGCTCAGTGCACAAAATTCATGCACTGGGTGGGCTTGGTTCTCCAGCCTGGCCTGTGCCCTCTCACAGTGCGGGAGCCCCACAATCGATCTCCCCAAAGAGGTAGGCCCCGCCCACCCATCCGGGGCTCCTTGATGGATTGCCCCAAAGAGGTAGGCCGGAGCTGGGGGTCCTGCCCCTGGCGTCGCCATGTGGCGCTGCCAGGACCTGCCTCCGTGCTGCGCATGCAGCATCAAGTCCCCACCCACCCGCATGTGCCTGCTGCGCACACAGCCTCCTGATAATGGATTGTTATGGTGTGAGGGCATGAGGGCATCACGGCATGAGGGCATGATGACCACATAGGCTTTTATTAGTATAGAGTCTTTCTGTATATTTGAAAAAACAATTTTAAAGTTGAAGGAAAATTCACCCACAATGAATTGGCAAATCCTAAAAAAATAAAAATTTTAAATACTGCATTTCTTCTGACTGTTATAGCATAGTAAGAAGTTAGGAAAATTCCAAGACAAGTGGAATAGGGAAACTAAGACAGATAGTTAAATAGCAGTTTGCAGCCACCAAGTAAATCCTGTCTTTCCTAAACCAAGGACACTTCAGAGTAAATGCTTTCTACTTCTCCTCCGCAATTAGAGGATAAATAGCTTAAATCACCCTACTCGGGGAGACAGAAACAGAAATTCAATTAAGTGCCATTTGCCAACCACACCCAAGGACAGACAAATTAAGAGAATAAATCTCATCCTGGCACATCAGCATAAAGCTGATGAATTTTCTATTGATCTTCCCCTAACACTTCTTCTAAACACCCAGCCTTTAAAACCCCTGAAAATGGAGGTCCCAGGGCACTCTCCCTCCAGGGAGCAAGCCCAGGCCATTCCCTTCCCCCCCCACACACACACAGGCATATATCCCTTAACCTCTAAGGAACCCCATGAGACTTGAAACCAAGGGAGCAATAGGCAGCAGCAGCTCATCCTGGTCTAACCCCCTGAACCTGTCTCGAAGGCCCCCTTTTCTTTGACTTCCCAGTGAGCCAAAGCAGCCCAGCCTGGGTTCCCTTGCTACTTCTTCTATGCCAGTGATGGCGAACCTATGTCACGCGTGTCAGAGGTGACACGCGAACTCATTTTTTTGGTTGATTTTTCTTTGTTAAATGGCATTTAAATATATAAAATAAATATCAAAAATATAAGTCTTTGTTTTACTATGGTTGCAAATATCAAAAAATTTCTATATGTGACATGGCACCAGAGTTAAGTTAGGGTTTTTCAAAAGGTTCGCCATCACTGTTCTATGTCCTTCCCAGTTTCACTGTCCTAGGTGTGTTTTTGCTGAGGCCAATAAATTCTTGCTTGTTTTTCTACATTTTGTCTCTTGATTGAAATCTTTCCTTCAAGAAGACAAGAACTGAGGTCTCCTCGTCTTGCAACTAACATGACTTTTGGGTGCTAACTCCTTCCCAGGCTGACACAGTACTGAAATTATGCTACTAATTCTCTAGGCCAGGTGTTGCAAAGTGGCAACCACAGATCTATGTAGGCTGCATACATGTTTTTCCTTGGTCCAAATAGAGGTTTTAAAAAAATTAGTTCCCAACATTTAAAATTTCAAGAATTTTTATCTTGACATATTATGTAATAAAATGTTTGTAACATAATAAAATATAAAATACTTACAATAGCAAACATGTATAGGTAACTTCCTATTGGACATGTACTATCCTAAGAGTTTCAGGTACTGTATTTAATTAATTTGTTCCTCACAATTGGTAGGTACTATTATTTTCGTCCCTTTACAGATGGGGAAACTGATGAATAAAGAGGTTAAGTAACTTTCCCAAAGTCTCATAGCTATGACTTCTAGTGCCAGGGTGAAATTCCATGCTATCTGCCTCGTAACCACTACACTATACCACCACTCAAAAATCTGCACCCCTCATTTCTCTGGGCAAATCAGAAGATCTGGAAACACATTCCCACCTGGGACCAACTGACAAGAGCCCAAAAGCTACATGCCCCTGAAGGCAGGGTAACTTCTGTTTGCCACAGTCCCCACTGCTTCTGGGGCCTTAGGGGTTTGGCTCTGCTCTAGCCACAGCACAGCTGAATACACCAGTGAGTGACACGTGACAGATATTTCACCCGTGCACTGCCCAGATTAAGCCAGATGTTAGGCAACCCTCTACGTAGACACGAAGCCCCAGTTTCATGAGAAGGCTAGTTACAAGTACCAGATGTGTGTATGTTCAGCAGGTTTGGATAGTGTCGAAGTGGAATGTCAGGATAATTGTTGGTAGGTAGTGGAAAAAAGTTACAAGAAGCATAAGTTACACACCGAATGGTTGGCAAGAAGGCCCCATCAGAGGGCAGTGTGGGTCAGTTGAAAAGAGCATAGATTAGGGTGGCCTGGGTTGGAACCTGATTCCATCACTTAGCTGCTAGACAACCTTGGACAAGCTATTTAACTTCTCTGGCTTCCATTTCCTTGACTATAAAATGGGGCAATGACCTTTGGGGTGGTGGAAGGAATTAAATTAGAGAGAGTATGTGAAGTCCCTTTGGCCCTTGTTAATATAGATAACCAAAATTCTTACTAATCATTCATATTTGTATTTTTATATTTTCCCCTAGAGTTACAAAGCAAGAAGAAATTCGGAAGCTATGGTAAGTATTAAGTTCTTCTTGGATCTTTACATATTAGGGGTCCAGGTCTGGCTTTATTTAGCCTGTAGCCTAAGCAGCTGGCATACTTGTCCTTATGGTTTGATAATCTTTATTGGCTTTTTGCCAAACCAGGGCTGCTAGAGCAGAACCTGGAAGAAATGGATATGGAGCAGGAGAAAAGCAGAGAGCTAAGAAAGATTTGTGAGCAAAGATTTTTAGTAAACCTTTAAAAATAAAAAAAGCAAAAAAACGCAGCAATAATGTAAGTGACTAACAATTTCTCCATTCAGTGTATTATTGAGTACCTACAATGGTCCAAGCCCAGTGACAGGTGCTAGAGATGCAGATGTAGACAACACCAGACATGGCCCTGTCCTCCCAGCATGTCCCCTGGTGGTAGCTGGTTAAATGAATGACAGCACTTTCATTCTGGAATCTACACTGCCATTATGAAGAAAGTTTGTAGAGAAGAATTAATAAAACAGCCTAGTCTCATGTTATAATAGCAAGTTAAAAATCAGGATGCAAAATTGCATTCACAGTATTAACTGTGTACTATAGATCACCCATAATCCACAACTTAAAAATAATAATTGTCAACATTGAACATCATTGCATTTAGCACTGGTTTTTTTCCTATTCTAAACACCTCTATTATATACATAAAATGAACATACGGAAAAGAGCGGTATAGTTATTATTTCTGGATTGTGGGATTATGAGTGATTTTTTTGCTTTTTTCTCTATGATGTTTTATACTTTCCAAGGTTCCTATAAGAAGCACGTATAAACAGAAAATAAGTCATTAAAAACACAGTCACAGTCACACATAGAGCTTCTCTCCCAGCAGTCATTTGTCTTCTCTTCCCCTTGGCCTTTGGTTTCTCCAGGGCAAGGCACGCAGGCCTCCACCAGGACAGCACAGGCATTGTGAGAGATGCTTCAACCGTCACTGCCACATTCCCGTGGAGCCCAATGTCTCCTGCATGATGATAAACTGCCACCTGTCCTGTGGTGCCACCTTCCACATGTGCAAAGAGGCAGAGCATGAGCTCCTCTGCCCTTTAGAGCAGGTTCCATGCCTCAACTCTGAATATGGCTGCCCCCTTTCCATGTCCCGCCACAAGCTGGCCAAGCACCTGCAGGTGTGTCCCGCCAGCGTGGTCTGCTGCTCCATGGAGTGGAACCGCTGGCCAAATGTGGACTCCGAAACACCCCTTCATAAGAACATCATGAAAGAGACCCCCAGTGAGGAGTGTTTGGACACAGCCCTGGCCCTCCAGGACCAGAAGGTCCTTTTCAGATCTTTGAAGATGGTAGAACTTTTCCCAGAAACTAGAGAGCCCACGGAGGAGGAACCTACTATGAATGGTGAAGCCAGCTGGGAAGAAATGGGAGGAGCAGTGGGTGGAGCAAATGCTGGTTTAGTGCCACATAGCTCCCAGTTGGCCACTAAAGAAGAGATGGCAGAACTGAGTCAAGAAGAACTCCAGGTGTTGGCCAAAACCAAAGAAGGGATGGACCTGGAAAAGTTTAGCAAGTGGGAAAATATTTTCAGCAAAGAGCATGCAGCCTTTGCTTTAACAAACTCATCAGCGAGCTGTGAGAACAAGAGCAGTAATGGCCCAGGGAAAGAACAGATTTCCATCACCAATAACATGATAGGAGAGGCCAGTGCCGAAGAGATAGAATCACAAGAGAACCAGAGACAGCAGGACTATCATGCAGCTATGGAAACAACAGGGCTTGCCCCTTGGCAGGATGGTGTTCTGGAGAGACTGAAATCGGCTGTGGATGCAAAGGACTATAATATGTATCTGGTGCACAATGGGAGGATGCTTATCCACTTTGGCCAGATGCCTGCTTGCACGCCTAAGGAGAAAGACTTTGTTTATGGCAACCTAGAGGCTCAGGAAGTGAAGACTGTATATACCTTCAAAGTTCCTGTGAGCTACTGTGGGAAGCGGGCTCGTGTTGGAGATGCCATGTTGAGTTGTAAGCCAAGTGAACACAAGGCAGTAGACACTTCAGACTTAGGGATCACTGTGGAGGACCTGCCCAAATCAGATCTCATCAAGACCACCCTCCTGTGTGCTTTGGAAAGAGAACTCAAAGGTCACGTCATCTCTGAATCCAGGAGCATTGACGGGCTATTCATGGATTTTGCTACCCAGACATACAATTTTGAGCCAGAACAGTTTTCCTCTGGAACAGTGCTGGCTGACCTCCTAACCACTGCCAACCCAGAGGGGCTCCATGTGGAACTCCACAGTGAGTGTGTGACCAGGAGACACAACAAGAGCAGCTCTGCCTTCACTTTCACCTGCAACAAATTCTTCAGGAGGGATGAATTCCCCCTGCATTTCAAGAATGTCCACACAGACATTCAGTCATGTCTCGATGGCTGGTTCCAGCATCGGTGCCCCCTCGCCTACTTGGGATGTACATTTATTCAAAACCATTTCCGTCCCCCAGGGCAAAAGGCAAAATTGATCTATAGTCAAGAGCTCAAGACCTTTGCCATCAAGCCGGAGGTTGCTTCAGAGCTGAATGAGGGAAGGAAGAACAACCATCTCTCAGGCCCTAGAGGGAAAGGCCAGAACTCTCTAACCAGCCTGCCCTTGGAGATTTTGCAATACATTGCTGGGTTCTTGGACAGCATCAGCCTGTCCCAGCTCTCCCAGGTGTCTGTGCTGATGAGGAATATCTGTGCCACTTTGTTACAAGAGAGAGGGATGGTCCTCCTGCAATGGAAGAAGAAGAAGTATTCCCATGGAGGCACCTCCTGGAGAGTCCACAAAGAGGCAAGTATACTACTCATTCATTCATTCAATAAATATTTAAGAGCCTTTTATGTGACAAACACTGTACTAGACACTGGGATTCTACTAAGTTACTGGGAATAAGACATAATTCCTGAGCTCAAGGTCAGTCCACCAGGGAAGACAGACTGATAAACATATTAATGGCAATACAAATGGCAGTGCCTGTTTATCTCTATGTATATGTCCTGGATATCTTCTGTGTGCTCACACGATCCATTCCCCAACCTTCTCCACCAAGATCTGCCTGCTCCCCATCCCCCCACAGGAGGCTTATCTCTATAGATTGCCTCAACTGGTTCCCTTGCATTTCAGCTTCCAGTTAGGTTAACCTAATGGGCGTGTATCAGCAGGAGACAGGCTGGAGGGAGGGAGAAGAGTGAGGTTGACATTTCTATTCTTCTGGCTTCCTCCCTGCATGCATTCTCCCTCCCTGACACTTCCTAGTGGAAATGTCTCTCCGCTGTAGGTGGTTATGTCAGATGGCTCTTTCCACACAATGACTCATTCTGGTCCAATGATGTCCCTTCTTCTTCCCTTTCAAGTCTGGGTACTGCACTATTTCTTGTGGCTTTCCTAAACCATGTCCACAATTTGTATATTATTTCTTTAAAAAATACCCTTCAAATGACCCCATTTGAATGTGCCATCTGTTTCCTGCCTGGACTCTGATTGACACAGTAGCCAACAAATTCCCCTCAGTCCCATGTCAACTATATTTTAAACAATGTATGCCTTTGTTAAGGCACTTTGAAGATAAATAATTTCTTAAATAATTTGCTCCATGACTTCTCCTAGTTCAAATGCTTATTGAAGTTTTCAAAAAAAAAAACCCCAAAAAACCTGCTGTATATATCAAATGTGTTCCTTTCCCCCCACCAGTCAGTTTATACTTGCTTAACTGTATTATAACTTCTATCACCTTACTTTCACTTCTTGTACCATACAGAAGTGAAACTCCTAGTTCATCGTATCCAAAATGACCTTAGCATACTTTCTCATGGTAAATATGTTGGAAATATGAGCCACAAATTTATGTGTCCATTGAGGTGAATAATTTCATAATTTCACAGTTGAGTTTCTTCCCAATATGTGGGTGTGTGCAAACTGGCATTGGGGAGTTAGAGTTGTTTACATCTATGTTTATTAAATATGTCTAAAACATTGTGTATATTTACTATTATTTATTCCCTGAGAAGTCTTCTTCAAAAAATTGAGATTCTTTCTTCCTATATACCCATGCCTACATACATGTGTTAAATAAACACTGACTGCCACTCAATTCGTGCTAGAAATAAGCACGAATGAGACTAAAGTCCTGCCCTTTGGGAATTGTATACTCTAGAATTGCCTACTATCTTCCTCTGTAAAATCAGATGCAAATAATTTAATTTACTTACTAGAAATCCAATTATTTTTTGGCCCATGTTTGTTCTCAATTAAATGATTACTGCCCATTCTTGGATATCATTTGGGGTAAACTAATTTCCTTGCAGAAAGAAAAAAAGAGAATTTAGTTGGAGCATCCTTTAACTCCAACTAAATTCTCTTTCTGGAGTTAAAATGGCTCTTTAAAGTAAAAGGGAAATTGTTCTAAGATTCTAGAAAGCACTTTTCTTACATAGGAACAATGGCAATAAACTGGGGGTGAAGTGGTCAGATTGAAATGGTACCAGGTTATGCCTACTCACGTAGCCAGATTTTAAAACTAGGGACTTTGACACCACGTTTTAGGTAGAAAGGCCAGAGGATGTTTGAGTACCAGACACCTAGATTTCTACTAAGATTTCTGTTCTAAGCTTTCTTATATGTTATAATACTTTTAGTTTCAAACACCAGAATACCAACTTAAAGTGACATAAACAATAAAGGGAATTCATTGGCCCCCAAATAACTAAAAAGTCCAAAGGGAATAGCTTCAGGTAAGGCTTGATCTAGCAGCTCAAGAAAATGCCCCCAAATGATGTTTTTCTTTCCTTTTTAAATCTCTACTTTCTTAATAATGGCTCCATTCTGAGACATAGGGTTCCCTTGGTGGCTCCTGGTGGCTGCTAGCAACTCCTAAAACTGCTGTTTCCCAGTTCAAGTGCAGAGGGGAAAAAAGAATCTGTTTCTTAATATCTAAAAAAAAAAAGTTCTGGAGTTGAGTCTCATTGAAACTAATTGTACTGATTTGAACTACCTGCCTATTCTGGAACTGGTGTGTGTGTGTGTGTGTGTGTGTGTGTGTGTGTGTGTGTGTTAGTGGTGATGGGGGTCAATATGCAGATTAATATTAGTCATTCCAGCACAACTGCATGACTGGCTAGGAAGATTATCAGTTGGAAGGAGGAACTAGGAATTGGGTGCTAGAGAAGAAACTAAGTGTCTGCAGCAGCCACTAACCACCCCCTGGAAGCTGAGACCAGGAAAAACAGAAAGGCATTTCCTTACATCCTTCAAATAAAGCTAGCCTGAGGGTACTGCCCCAATGTTCACTTTTGAGCTTCTGTCTTTCCCAACAGATCTGGCAATTCAGCAGCCTCTTCTCTAAGATCAACAGCTGGGAATTTAATGAAGTCACCTCCATGTCCGAGCACCTGAAGACATGTCCTTTCAATGTTGTAGAGCACAAGACTGACCCAATTCTTTTGACCAGCATGTGTCAGCCCCAGGAGCAGGCCCGAGAGAGCTTGGTCACCACCTTTAGAGCCAGACCACAAGGAAGACAAACCAACTAAAGATTCAGATACCATCATTCTTGAATTTCTCCTCGGAGTTACTGAAAGTAGGACAGAGCGTGGCTTGGGGAACTTCCCTCTGTAAACTGCATATAGGCTTATCTGGGTGTATTAGAACATGCATTGTCCTTCGAGGTCTAAGAATTCCCTAAGCCCTGCCTTGTACAATTGCTATAGTACCATATTGATGACTTACTTCCTTTCCTTTTTTATTTCTAAGATAAATCAGGTTGAAGAGAAAGTAGGTAACGAGGTCATTGAGGAAGATAAGCCCCATTTCTTAGAAATGAGAGAGCAATGAATTCCATAACCAGTGTAGGCCTGTGCTTTTATTGGGGATGGGAGGTCAGTTTATAAGCACGTTCAGATTTGTGGGGCAGGCAATACAGGGATGTGGACTACGGTGCTGGTCCTCCATGGTGAAGGGCTCACCGTTTGAAGATTCTGGGGCTGAGGTTGTCTTGACATTCAAGCCCAGGGCTGTTGTTAGTTGCCCCACTGCCCCTAAGCCAAGACAGTCCGAACACAGCCCTACAGAATAGAGACCTTGGCTGAGCACAGTCGCCTTGAAGAGACCACAAACCAAAGGATAAAAGGCAGAAATTAGGTCAGAGAGTTTGTTGTGCAGAATCTTGGCAACATATAAGAAAACCTTGAAAAATGAAGAGCCCATAAGACACAACATTCATGGAGAAAATTAGGGCAAAAAGCCTCAAGCCTACATCTAAACATTTTAATAATGACTTAAGAGTCAAGGTTCTTTTCTTCTGAAAAGATAGGTCCGGATTATGAAGAACATTGCATAGCCCAGCACCAGCACCCACTGCAGGTCCTGCGGCACCAGTCACCAGGTCCTAGACACCAACCTGAGTAACTCAGGGATCTTAGGAAGGAAGTCACGGAACAATAGTGGTTCCCTGTCATTGTTCCTACATATTATTGGTCGTCTTCAGGTGTCAAAAATGGGTGACACTGCTAGTTTTGGGTAACACACAGTGAAACTCATGAGAACAAAACTAAAAGAAAAATACACAATTGAAACTGACTTCCCCTAAAGCAGGGTTTCTGGGAACTGCTGACATTGTGCACTAAATAAATCTTTGTCATGAGGGACTGTCCTGTGTGTCATATGACATCTTCCAGCATCCTTAGCCTCTAGCCATAGTACACCCACAGCTGTAACAACCAAAACTGTCTCCAGACATTGTTAAATATCCTCTGAGTCACTCCTGGTTGACTAAAAGATGACATAAAAGATGACATACCAGTGGCAGTAAGTTAGGATCAGCTGTTTAGTACAGCAAATTCTTCTCTCACACATAGTTATCTACAACGGTGATGACTTCATCAACTCCGTATTTACTACGTAGGTTCTAGACCAGGGGTGGGCAAACTTTTTGACTCGAGGGCCACAATGGGTTCTTAAACTGGACCGGAGGGCCGGAACAAAAGCATGGATGGAGTGTTTGTGTGAACTAATATAAATTCAAAGTAAACATATTTTTGATATTTATTTTATATATTTAAATGCCATTTAACAAAGAAAAATCAACCAAAAAAATGAGTTCGCGTGACACCTCTGACACGAGTAAGCCATCATAGATAAGGTAATCTTCCTGGATGGAAGATGTCATAGGTTCGCCATCACTGTTCTAGACACATGGAGATATTAACTTGTGAATCGAATTAAGTGGAGCTGGTTTGTTTGGTGTGCCTGTATGCCCTGGGGTCATGTTCAAAAGCAGATTCCTTCAGCTCTCTCCCAGTGTAGCTGAAGCCAGGAAAGTTAAGCTATTTATCTTGTGTTTACATCCCTCTCACTGTAATTGGTGCCATTTTCTCAGTCCTAGCAGCCCTCAAACAAGTGAGAAAGAAGGGAAAGGAAGTCAGACACTGTGGGCAAGTAGAGAACAAAGAATTTAGCCAACAACAACAACAAAAATGAGGCTAGTTGATCTGGATGCTTGTTGTTGCCTGGATCTCTCTCTGAACATGGTCTGAAGCTGGTGTAGATGAAGTAGGTGGCACCTCTGAGAAGAGTCAAGAAGCATTTGAGCAAGTCCCAGAACAGAAGTATGCTCATCTTTTCATTAGAATATGCCACTTGGACCTATTCGGTTATGTAACTCATTCTTATGGTTTGGTTTATATTGCACATTTATATATAAGGCAACATTTTCTAAAAATACAGAGTGTGAGCTAAGATTTTATTTAGTGAAGATGAGTAACTTGAAACAACTAAACACTAAAGTGGGAGGGGGAGGAGAAGGAAGATTTCTTCAGTTATCAGTTCCATGTATTTTGGCTCAAGTCCTTATATGAAAAAAGAAAGCTCCTAAAGTCCATTCTGGGTCTTTCATTTTACTAGAAGAAAAGAAAGGGGAGCCAAGGGAGATACAAATTAGGGGCTACTGTTAGATGGGAGAGAAGTATAGAGAACGGAAGAGAGCAGAGGGCTTTCCCTTTGCAATCTGGGTGGGTGGGGGCAGGCAGGCTCAGGGAGCAATCAGGACAGTGCCACACTGCTCTGTGGGCTGCACAGTTTCTGTCATACTTTACTTTCCTTGTTGCTGCCTTCACAGCAATATTGAATCGATCAACATCGTCAAACACATTTTGTAAGATATCTAATTGTACATATTGCAGAAAAGCAGGATACCGCAGTATATGCACTGGTTTATACAAACAAGCACATTTTATGGTGAGAGGGCAGTTGGAGCAAAAGGAAAACCTTTTATGAGACTGAATTAGGCAGAAGATGATTTGGTTAGTGCGATAAGGCTGTATTGAGTAGCATGGGCAGCAAGCGTTATCTGACAGAGGCAAGACAGTTAGACATGGCTTCAGACTAAGAAGCACTGAGGGGAGTGGAAAGGGACAGTGTACCCAGGAATAGGAGCCTGTATGGAAGATGTCTATGAGGAGAGCCCTTGATGAGTATCACCACCAAGATAATCAGTTCAGAGTAGAAATCAGCCAAAGTGGAGGGAGAGGTCTGGAGAACTGAGGCAGTTCTGTAGAATTGTTGCTTTAATAGCACAGGGGTCTGGAAAAGAAGTTTCTGTCTTAAAATAAAGGGAAAAGTGAAAAAAGCAAGGAGGGACTTAGAGATGTAACCAGAAAACCACTGTAAAATTCTGATCTGTGTGTGATGGCAAATAAAACTGAAATGAAGAAGGGGGTTGTGTATATCTATGATGGCTTACCTTTGTGTACTGGAAATCCCAATGTCTCTATAAGCAGAAATAAAAGCTGCTTTGCACTCTGAAAGGCTAACTGGGTGAATCTTGTAAGGTAGGACTAGAGACAGATTTGTGATTCACTGGCATAGAAGTCATTGTGAAAACAAAGGAGTGTGTGTCTTAAAGAAAAGCTAGGGAATAAGCCTGAGGGACATAGTGCTCCCGGCATGTGGGCAGCTCACAGCTTTAGGAAGTCCTGGAGCATCTGGGGATCTCAGTCACTAATCCTAGCTGCCACTCTCTTCTTCATCTTTGAAAGTTGGGCCCAACTTCTGATACTGGTTACAGCACAGACTTCTATGTCTTACTAACAAGATTCCCTACACCAACCAAATCTCTGGCTTTGATTTAGATTTTGTTCTGATTTTGCCTCACATCTCCTATCTCTGGCCTTCAGGAGCACAATGGCCTGGGCTAGGATAAACCCACCATGCCCTGTCCTCATTCTCCTCATCCCCATCCTTTGCTAGTGATTTGCTTGTTGCCCATCACTGGCTGTCTAAATGTCTTCACTGTTTTTCATATCATATTCATCCATGAACCACACAGAAGCTTCATGAGTTTTTTCCCATCTACCCACTTACTTGGCCATCAATTTCAGTCATCCAGCTACAAAGAAATTGGAACTTTCTTGAGTAGAGGACACTGTCTCTGACTAAATCCTCTATCACTTTATTGAAGCCTGTGTTCCTTTAGCTTTTGTCTTTTTTTTGTTGCCAAATATCCCTTTTCCTCCTTCCTAATCTCTAATTTGTGCTGCTTCTTCAAGAATCTTCATCTCCTAGAAGAGGTTTGGCTCAGTGGATAGAGCGTCGGCCTGCGGACTGACAACTGCTGAAGCCAGTAGAAGTTCTACCTGGCCTCCTGTTCCCCACCTTACCACCATTCCCCAGGCTGATCTGTTAGGACTGGGTTTAAGTATAGCCTAAGGAAAAAGCTAGACATCAGGGCACAGGAGGATGGTCAGTGGTAGGAGGGAATCTTCTGGATATGCCTGAAGCGGGGAAGGAGAATTGGAGCCATGAGAGTCAAGGCCATTGAGAGATGCATAAAAAGTATTATGTACTTCAGCCTAGAGGTGAAACATAGTCCCACTTTATTTCCAATTTTAAGACTGAGCAGAGAAAAGGTATCTCTGCAGGGAAGGAAAATAAGCAAACAGCACAACCAGGTCAACCAGGCAGTCTAGACATACCTTCCTAGGTAAGCAAACCAGGAAGCTCAGAGCTCACAAAAGCAGAAGGCAGAGCTTGAGGTGTTAGAAGGAACACTCATGGGGAAGGAGGTGGGGCAACAAGATACACGTCTATGAGCTCACACAGGATAGAGAGGACACTGAAGGAGAGTTCACCTTCATGCTATCTCTGCCCCAAACCCTAATGGAGGAGGAGAGAGAAATCTATCTAGAACCTCAGGCAACTCATGACATCCTATTAGACACTTGCAGCAGATGGGAGGAAGTGGAGGCCGAGCCACTTTGATCATGGGAAGTCACAGTGCAGAATACAATCTGGGCCATTTACTGGAGAAGATTGACATAATTTGCAGGGAAGAGTCCAAAGTGACCGTGGCAACGTCCCCGCCACCAGCCCTCGTCCACCATCTCAATGTCGGTGATGATGTCATCTGGGTCAAAGGAAATCTCATCACTTCCCTCTGGAGAGGAAATTGACAGGATATTAGGATGGTTAAACAGGAATCTCTTTATCCCTATACCCACTCTAAACCTCAGGAAGAGAAATAGCCCTGGTCTTCTTGATGCCAAGTCTGGACACTTCTGTGACCCTCAGAATTCATCCCTCTCTCTTGTTTCAAGGACCTTCAGACACCAGACCCCTCAGGTCACTCCCAACTTACCTCCTTGGTAATCATACAGGGCTCTCGCTGAGATCCCAGCCCCAGCCGGACAGCCTGATGATCCTGCATTATCAGAAACATAAACATGGTCTCACCAACATGCAAAACAAATAGGTTCTTCTGGGTAATGGGGCAATGCTTCCTTTTACACCCCCCCCTCCCCCCGCCCCAAGACCTGACCAAATTCAGGAGCTGATTCTCCCTTCTACCACTCACCAGCCACGGAGGAGGGAAATGAGGCATCTTCAGGTTCCAGCACATCCTCATAGTCCCCTTCTAGTTCATCATCTTGCTCATTTCTGTCCATATGCGCAACATCCTCATAGTCATTCTCAGGCTCTGGCTCTGGCTCCAGCTCAGGCTCAGGCTCAGGCTCAGGCTCAGGCTCAGGCTCTGCTTCATATATAGGCTCTGCTTCATACACTGGCTCTTTCTCTACCTGGAGGCCTTCCAGAGTCCTGGGGGGCAAAGCTGGGGCCTCCTCATCATCCTGAGGACAGACAGTGTGGAACAGGGTAATTTGAATTCACCAGGAGCTGCCGCTCCAAAACCTTCCATTGGAGGACTGCTAAGACCACATCCA